CGTCGGCGGATGGGACGTGGCCCTGCGACCGGAGCGCAGCGTTTGGGGGACGCAGGGCGGGAGAGGGTGGAGGGCCACGTGAGACTCACGCGGGGGGCGAGGTCACCGAGCCGAGGCCGCGCCGGTCGTGGGTTGGCTAGCACAGGAGCTGCGGTGCAGCGAGGGCGTGGAAGCCCACCCGGCCTGGGAGCCCACAGGCGTAGTTGTCGCTCAGGGCACCGAGTCGCAAGTCGTGCCCAGCGCGAAGGAGGGCGCCGGTCTCGGACACCAGAGGCTCACCTGCCGCCCCGCAGCGTCCTGCGCCCTTCCCTCCCCGGCCCGCGTGGGCCCGCGCTGGAAGTTCTGCGCCTGGCCTCGAGGTCCTGCAGCCCAGAGCGCTGCTTGGATGTGTCAGAAACACGTTTGGGGAAAAGAGTAAAATGCTTCTTGTGCCTAGGGGACTTGCGCCTCAAGAGATGGCTCCCGGGAACCAGCAGTTAGCATAATGGCTATGTCGCTGGACTCCCACGTAGTCGACCGCGGTTCGTGTCCCGGACCCGGTGGCTTAAAGCTCACGCCAGGCGCGTGTGCGTGCGTGCCCAAGATCCCGAGAGGAGAATGGAGGAGAAGGGATTGCGGCATGACCATCCCACCTGGGGGGTGATTTCTCGCTTTCTGTCTCTATGTCTCTCTCTGTCTGTCTGTCTGGCGAGCGCATGCCCCCTATAGCGAAAACCTCTCCAAAAAAAAAAAAAAAAAGAGGTGGCTCCCCTGGTCCCCAGCGCTGGGTGGGGTCACTCCGCGTGTTACACGGGAACAGATGTCTGCAGATGCGAGACTTAGCAAAGAAAGGAAACAATAAGAGCGCCATAAGGAAACTTGGGCAACTTTTTCAAAGTCTCAGGGAAGAGAAGGGTTTTGTAAGCATGGCACAAAATCCCGCTGATGTTGAGACAAGACAGATTCCTTTACAGAAAGGACCATGCTGCGGAGCAAAACTGCAGAAGCAAAATTCAGAACGGGAGGGACCTGGTACCAGCTTCTCACACAGGGCTGGCCCCAGGAAAGTTAGCAACAAGTTAATAATTGACAGCTCCAGGTCAGCAGTGCCAGCTCTCCTGTAGAAACTCCCTCAGGGTGCCTCAAAAGGACGGGGCCCTCTTTGGACGCAAATTGAAAAGCACTGAGGTCACTTTCACCTAAAAAAACTGGCAAAGATCAAAAAGATTGACCATACGCAAAGGGGAGCCTGTGGGTGGCATTTGGTGCAGCCAGGGAGCCTTAGGGCCAGCAGACTGGGCCTTCGGACTGGCCTGCCCAAGAAAAGAGCCCATAGCTCCCACTCAGCGGTCCTCCCGGAGGCTCCCGCAGGCATTTCAGGGACCTGTGAGGGTGCCCGTGTCCATCACGCGCTGAGATCAGGAGTGTCCTCAGGACCCAGACACCACGCTACAGCGGTCAGCATAGCGTCACCATATCCCGGAAAGGACCAGAAAGCACAGCGCTGGCTGGGAGTGGTCTTCAGACACAGCATTAGCTGAAAAACTATGGGAGAGCGCTTGTTCAGGCTTGGAGTGTCTGCGAGGTCTAGCAGCAGGCCACCCCAGGGCAGGCCACCCTGGTTGACCTTTGGGGAGGAGAACCAGGCATCTGTTGGGCTTGGGGGCCCTCTCTGTTGGTACCTTTTGAACATTGTATTGGTGGAGGGGTGAGGGTTTACAGAGGGTGGAAGGAAGCTGAGCCCTACTCCACAGACTCATTACAGCAGGGAAGGGGAGGTGGAGGGCATTGGCCAAGGAAGCTCTGGTGCTGGCCCAAAGAGATGGTTCTTTTGTTTCCCTGGAATCTGGGCTGGGCTTTCCACAGCCCCAGCTGCAGGGACCTGGTGGTTCTTGGTTTAAAGGGACAGAGGTCAGACCTGGGTTTCGCTGAGTGGGGACCTAGGCTGCTGCGCTGCACCCTGCTGGCAACTCACGTTGGGCGCCAATCTGCGGGCCCCACGTTGGGCGCCAATCTGCCGGGGACCAGCCTCGGCGGGGGTGGGTTGGCTCGTCGGAGGCGACACTGGAAAGAAAGGAAGACTAAGGCCTGGTGCCTTTTCATGCACGTCCTCAGCCGGACACTCCCAGAGATCGCTCTCTGAGGAGTGACAACTGTTAGGAATCATCGTGCCTTTTTATTGAAAATGCGATACATGCAAGTAAATGGGAGAAGGGCTACGTGTACTAATTATCAATTCATAAAGTTTTAACAATAGCAACCATTCAGGGTTTGATTAAGGGCAGGTCTATTAATCATCGATACAGTTCAACAATTGTTTGATTGATGAAAGCAGGTTCCTGGTAACTTCAAGCAGTGCAGTTTCAGGAAACA